ATACCGCCGGGGGCCCAGATGCTGGTGCCTCTTAAACTATGTCGGCCTTTCGCTAAAGGGATTGGGGACCAGGGGGTTCTGGTGGGGCCGTCTAGGGTCGGGGTTAGCGGACCTCATTTAATTCCGGCCTAGACCATCGTTAAGGGGGACGGGGACCCTTTCATCGCGGTCCTCAATGTGGGGTCGCGGACGGTGGTGGTTCCACAGGGGACCGTGCTTGCTCACGCAACGCCGGTGCCCTGTGAGGAACCCGTAGTAAATCACGTGAGCGCTGCCCCTCTGCCGCGACCACATACGGACAGTGATGAGGGGTGGCTCGAGGCGCTTTGTGCGGGATCGACGGACCTGTCGGACTTAGAGCGTCAAAAGCTTAAAACACTGCTGCGTGAATTTTCCGACGTTTTCAGTCGGAACAAATACGATCTGGGCTGTACTCATCTGCTGCGTCACCATATTGATACGGGTGACAGCGCGCCAATATGCCAGAATCCTTTTCGGTTAAGTCCCGCCGAAAAGGACCATGTCAAATCGGCCGTTGATGACATGTTAGCCGCCGACATCATTTCTCCTTCTACCAGCCCTTGGGGAGCGCCGATTGTCTTAGTTAAAAAACATGACGGCTCGTTGCGGCTTTGCGTCGATTTTCGTCGCCTCAACAAAATTTCTGTTGCCGACGCATACCCGCTCCCACGGATGGACGAATCGCTTGACGCCTTGGCGGGGGCGCGATTCTTCTCCACATTGGATTTGCTTTCGGGATTCTGGCAGCTTCCTCTGGACGATGATTCGAAACCCAAAACTGCATTCCGTACACCGCACGGCCTGTTCCAATTCAACCGGTTGCCGATGGGACTCCACTCAGCGCCGGCAACTTTCCAGCGATTGATGGAATTGGTTTTGGCTGGGTTACAATGGGACTCGTGCTTGATTTATTTGGATGACGTTATCGTCTTTAGCAAAACATTCGACGAACATCTCCAGAGGTTGCGGGCGGTTTTCCTCAAAATGCGGGCTGCTAATTTGAAATTTAAACCACAAAAATGTCATTTGTTACGCGAATCTGTGCGTTATTTGGGACATATCGTCGGACGCTCAGGTATTGCTACCGATCCCGCCAAAACGCAGTGTGTCAGCTCCTGGCCGACTCCCACCTCTGTGGGAGAGGTCAGGAGTTTCGTTGGATTCGCATCGTATTACCGACGGTTTGTCGCGGATTTTGCAACGATTGCAAAGCCCCTACACGCTTTCACATCGAAGGGGGTCCGGTTCCACTGGGGACAGGAGGAGGAGGCTGCCTTCCGATCCCTCCGGGACACGCTGGTAAAGGCTCCTCCCTTGGTTTACCCTGATTTTTCCAAACCCTTTTTGCTCGACATGGACGCGAGCAACACGGGTATTGAAGGCGTGCTTTCGCAGGTGGTTGACGGCGTGGAACGGGTAGTCGCGTACGGTAGTCGGGTGTTGTCTCCAGCAGAGCAAAGATATTGTGTCACCCGTCGGGAACTGTTGGTAATTGTTAACTTCATCCAACAGTGTCGCCCATATCTGTACGGTCGGCATTTCACCATCCGCACAGATCATGCGGCACTACAGTACGCCCTGCGAGTTCAACAACCATCGGGACAATTGTCTCGATGGTTGGAGATTCTCCAGGACTTCGATTTCGAAACTACGTACCGTAAGGGCGTTCGCCACACCAATGCGGACGCTCTGTCACGGATGCCAACCACCTCCGAATGCGCATGCCTCCTGGGGTCGGGACGTTGCAGGCCTCCGAGTGAGATATCCGTTCCGGTCCTGGCGGCCGCCGCTGACGCAACGTCGATGACGGATTCGATTGCAACACAGGGAAAAGATTCCCTGTTGGGGTTGCCTGTTGCTGAATGGGGGCGCCTCCAGATGGAGGATACCTCCTTCCTCGCGTTGCGTCGTCGCGTCGGAAGTGCTGGGCGGGGGAGGGGTGATGTCGACTCATGGGAGATGGTCCAGGGTCTGTTAATGCATTGGGACGGGAGATCCCATCGACACCGGCTGGTGGTCCCTTCTGTTTTGCGGGGTAAGGTGGTGTGGGCCGCTCATGAGCGCCTCCTCCACCTGGGGACTCAAAAGACCCTCGCCATGCTCCAGCTAGATTTTTTTTGGCCGGGCATGACAAGGGATGTCGGGGATCTGTTGGGGTCATGTCCTCGGTGTGCGCAACGTAAACCACCAGCACGGGAGTCTAACCCGCCTTTGCAATCCATCAAAGTTTCCAGGGTCAACGAGCTTGTCGCGCTTGATATTCTGGGCCCATTCCCCGCTACCCCCAGGGGCAACAGATACCTGTTGACCGGGGTGGAATATTTTACGCGCTGGCCTATGGCCTGGCCCCTTGCCAACCAGTCGGCAGCAGCCATCGCGGAGGCCTTTGTCCAGGGATACGTCCTGGACAAAGGTGCTCCGGAGCGGCTGCTGACCGACCAGGGCAAACATTTTTCTGGTAAACTTCTCCAAGAGGTCTGTGAGCTCCTGGGCACGAAAAAAATTCGTACCTCCCCATATCATCCGCAAACTGACGGGATGGTGGAGCATCTGCATCAAACCATCACATCAATGCTGTCCCAACAGGTCTCGGACTCACAGACCGATTGGGACCTTCAAATTCAAGGGGTCTTGGCAGCATATAGAATGGCTCCCCACGCGGCAACGGGATTTTTCCCCTTCTTCTTGATGTACGGCCGCGAACCTGACCCGCCTGTTCAGACCCAGCTGCAGATCTCCGCGCCGCGGGTAAAACTAAATTGGCCGACCATGTTAAATTCAATATTGCTAAATTAACAGAGGCACGGGAGGCTGCTATGCAAAATTCCGACCTCCGCCAGAAGGCTAACGAGAGGCTCAGGCTGGGTCGGGCGCACGTGCTGCAGTGGAAACCGGGTGACAAGGCATGGTTACACTGTCCACAGGTACCACTTGCAACCTCCTCTAAACTGGTGCGGCCGTGGCGGGGCCCTGTGGAGGTGGTTCAGGTTTTGCGGCCTCAGTGTGTACGCATCAAATGGGGGAAGCGGCGGCGGTTTGTGCACCCCTCCAGATTGAAACCGTTCGTTGCGGTCCGAGTTCCCACTTCACACACGCGTGGCCAGACATGTGGGGGGTCCGCCGACTCACAGGGTCTGTCTCCGCTGCTCTCACCTAACGTGCTGCCGGCTGTCCCGCCCCCAGGTGCACCGGGAGTGACGGGCTCACGCCCGACAACCCCTCCTGGGGATGCCGAGGGTCACGCGGCAACGGAAAGTGACTCACTCGGACACGGACGGTTGCCACCCAACAGTCTGCCATCCGGGGTTGCCCCGTGTGACGGGCCTGCTGCAAGAACGCGTGCGAAAATGCGCAGACTTTTGTGATGCCCGGAGGATTGTACATATGTTGTGTTCACTGTGTGTTGTGTGTGTGGTATGTTTTCCTGCAAATTGGATTGTATATATGTTGTGTTCATTGTGTGTTGTGTGTGTGGTGTGTTTTCCTGCAAATTGTATATAGGGTGCTCTTACGGAATTCGTATTTATTCGGGGGGGGGGTGCGTCGGGTTCTTTCTCTTCTTGCTGTTGTGGTTCTTGTTGGTGTTCTTGTTGTTGTTATTGTTGAAAAAAAATTGTGAGGCACACGCGGGTTCAAGGGGTAAATACACTTTTATTGTTGTTTGTTGCAGCCGGGACGGCTGCGAGCTGTACAGTGGGGGGTGATGTAGGGGTGTTACGGAGGGGCTGTTATACAATGGGATCAGATGGGAAAGAAACACAGTGGGCGTGGCTATGTCGGTGCACGGGAAGGTGCTCCCAGCGACGTCCGCATCGGGCAGTCTGGGGGGCTGACTCGGAGCTGGGATCCCCCGGGGCCCCACCCCTCAGCGGGGGTTTTGGTATAAAAGGGGATGAGCCGGAGGGCTCAGGGAGAGATGTTGAAGCTAACCAGTGAAGACTGAAGATCGTCGTAGATAGAGCCCTGGACTCCCCTGGATCGCCGCCCTTATCAGGGCCGAACAGGATCGAGCCAGCGGCGTGGTCCCGAGAGCCAGAGCCGGTGCTCTTGTAAGAGCTGGTCTGGGACTCCGGGTACCGTGAGCCCGACTTACCAGTGTCGGGCTAGCTAGCCTCCCCTAGCCCGTTAGTGGAGGACCCAGAGGTAGGCTAGGCATAGCTAGAGAGTGTATCCCCAGTTAGACGGGTGAGGGGGCCGATACCCCCTCCAGTGTTGTATGTCAGTGTTGTGCTGTACCGACACGGAATTAATACGTGTGCCTCCAACCCCGACGTACAAGTCTCCTGGAACACTATTACACATGCACACAGTCTTCTGAGTAATGACCAAATTATTACAATTAATGAAAATGTCATTCAACTTTATGGAAATATTTGCATTTAAATGGTGATTATATGCCTCAGCTACTCAAACATTCAGAGCGCCCATAGTGGCAGCTGTCGGTGTGCGGCCTGCAAGTAGGAATGTCTGCCAATCCCTGTTGAGTAATTTATGGGTAATGCTTTCTCGGGGTGACTCGTTACTCTCCTCCATTGGTGGCTCTAAACTATTGGGAAACGTCACGCCCCCACAGCATGTTGAATGTTATACTGTCATGTCAAAATAACAAAAATATTAACTCCAACTGATTCACTACGGAATTTTCATATCCCCAGGTCGTACGTTTCAGGAAAAATACACAAGGGGTGAGTTTCTTTAGCGAAGGTGCCCCTAGACAAGAGGCATTAAACTTTCAAATTACAAATGGAAGCTGGAAAATATCAAATATATTTGGAGAGCTCAATCCAGCCTGCATCCAATTTAGAAGTTCCCACAGACATTAATAGGACCAAATCAATGATGTCAACTAGATATCATCCTTAAGATGTGGTGATTGAACCTACACTGGCAACACCTTGACATGTGGCATTGCTCTGATTCTAACACAGTGCTATGTTCATGTAAAATGAAAACGTTGTGAGCTCAGTGAAGATTGAGGGTTAGTGACGAACCGGTTGGTACTTGCGCTGCACCCTGAGCACGTCCAGGGGGCTGAGGCCGCTCCTCTGGCCGATGGGAGCTTTAGCTGCTGTCGTGGGGGTGATCGTCTCACTCATGTAGTCCGAGGACAAGGCGTACCTGGAGAGGAGATCAGCGCGTTACACATTTGACTTGAGTGACTTGTTACCGCTCTAAGTCTTTTACCGGTTACTTTATATATGTACTAGCTGTACTACCCGGCTTCGCCCGGGACTTGTATCCACCACGGCCGGCCGCCTTTGTCTCCCCAGTGGCGATGTTAATACGCTACAGCAGTTACTCGTTTGAGGCAGAGTCGACCTAGGGGAGGTTCAAATAATCGTCACCGGTGGTGGTCGTGAGCGTGAATGGAACTGGGTTCGCCGGGTTGGTAGCGCAGCGTAGCGTTAAGCACTACACCCACCGCTCCTCACACACCACACACGCACAGACACACACACAGACACACACACAGACACACGCAGACACACACAGACACACACACACAGACACAGGCAGCATGCTAAGCACTACACTACCGTTCCCCCTACACAACACACGCGCGCGCGTCCATAGGTACACATACACGCGCTTGCTGCAGACACACACGACTTTCAGGGTGCGTACGGCAGTAAACGACTGAAATAATAAAGCGGCAATGCTGCGCAAGGAACTCCTTAGACCTGCAACACATTTGTGTAATGCGAGCGTAAACACACAAACACATACAAACACATACACAATACACACACACATACATGCAGACACACAGACAAACACATAACACACATACATACACACACATACATACACAGAAACACATACACACACATACATAGACACACACATACATACACACAAACATGCACACACGTACATACATACAGACACGCAGACATACACATAAAGACATAGAAAAAAACCCACATACATGCACACACACAAACACATACACACACATACATACACACATACATACAGACACACAGACATACACATAAACACATACACACATATGTATGACCCGGCTTCGCCCGGGACTTGGATCCACGATGCCCGGCCGCCTTTGTCTCCCCAGTGACGATGTTCACACACGACAGCAGTTACGCGTTTGAGGCTGAGTGGACCTAGGGGAGGGCCAGGTCCGTTTCAAATAATCGTCAGCGGTGGTGGGCGTGAGTTGGAATGGAACTGGGGTCGCTCAACCAGCTTAATGACTATTTGTACAAAGAACATATAAAGAATCGATTATAATAACCAGGCTACAGTCCACATTATAGACTGCCAGTACACGCAGTCAGCTTCATAAGCAGGCTAGAGTGTACATGATAGAGTGGCAGTACGCTCACCGAGCTTAATAAGCAGGCTACAGTCTACATGATAGACTGGCAGTACGCTGACCCAGCTTAATGACTATTTGTACAGTGAACATTAAAGTAATCGATTGTTGGCGCGTTGGGTTTAAAAGTAATATTAATTGCACACATTGTGGTGGGGGTGGAGTGAAGAGTAGGAAAAACTTTGATGAATTTACCTCAGAGTGGCGTGGTGGGTGTCGAGGCCTAGTAGCATGCAGAGCCTGCGGCCTCGCCTAAATTGCCCCCCCGGCAGAGGCAGGGTACGGGTGGCGTGCCTTCCCCCCCCCCCCCCTCAGCGCTCCAACAATACTGTGTAATGGCTATTATTTAATTATTTACGGAGCCTATGAAAGTGGCGAAGGCGTGGCTAGCCGTTGGCAGGGGCAACCGCCGTCCAATGAAACTGCAGCCCTTGGCGAAGGCGTGGCTAGCCGTTGCCAGGTCCAATGAAAGCGGCGAAGGCGTCGCTATCCGTTGCCAGGGGCAACCGCCGTCCAATTAAAGTGCGTATGGTCCGAAATCCACACACACACACACAGACGGACAGACAGACATGCACGATTTTATATATATAGATAATCAATTACTTCCCCAGAACAGATGATGACCAATTGAGATGAAGTGTACAGGTTGTAAGCCAAGTGTACGTCAGTGCCAAACAAGAACCTGCCGAGTTTGAATCTGCCACATACACCAATGTACCCTGGGACACAGCTGTATTACCCATGCCACCACCCTTCAAACACTCAATTGCTCCCTGCAATAGAGAGAGGTTTACAGTATCTATTTGCGTGCATGATTTCATGTCTTGAGGGTTAGTACTCATGTAGCTATCGTGCATTCAGCTACTCAATAATGTGCATGCACTATAAAAATAGACACGACCTCAAACAGTGAAAACAGCAATGAATGGCATCAGGGCTGGTTGGTTTTGAATGTTGTCTAACCCTCGGAAACCGTGAAGCATGGCAATAAATACAGGCATCCTTTCTGTGGCTTGGTGGTTCTCTAGTTTAGCATGCAAATGGGCAAAGCTATTTCACAATAAAATTGGGCCGACCCCAGCTCTAAGGGGTAAAACCCTCTGAAAACTGAGACGTAAGAAAGCTTTCTCTTCCCAGCACAAAGAAGAACCATCCAGAGTAACCCGTGATGAAAACCAAGTTCTCAAGGCTAGTCTATTAAATATTCACAGCTTGTTCACCAAAAAAGCCACAAAGTACAATATCAATGTTATGTAATTTAATGTAACAATACAATCTTGAGTTTATTTTACGTAATTTGGCTGATCCTAGCATTGAGAGGCGCCCAGCGCTCTCTGCGCAGCGAGGGCTGTGCCGTGTCATGCTGAGTGAGCGCTCTGTGGATAACGCAACTTCACGAGTGGCCGAGCGGCACAGCTCTCTGTGATGAGGGAGACCGTGCACACCGAGCGGCGTTCTCTGTGATGAGGGAGACCGTGCACAGCGAGTGGTGTTATCTGTGATGAGGGAGACCGTACACACCGAGCGGTGTTCTCGTGACTCGACTCTCACAGCAGAGACATCGATGGTGATGAGACCCGTAATAATGGTTATCTCAGAGTCGAAACAGAATTTAGAAGTGTTGTACTAACATAAATCAACATTTCATTATTATTTTATGCTGGTTAATGTTTGGTGCGTTAATTTGTTTTCATAAAATGTTGTTTCCTGGCAGCTTAGGCGATGCAATTCCTACACTGTAATTAACCTGTAGACATTCTAATGAACAGTCCATGGGGCTATTTTAAATCACAACCCCAACACACACGATGACTTCCAGACAAGGGTCTGCTTCATAATCGGCACCACAAACATGAACTACATCATGTTCTGGGGTTCATCATCTCAAAGGCCTCCAGACAAATGTTTTCCAGCAGGATTACTGAAGCAGGAAACCCTGCGCAGGTTTTAATTTTCAAGACTCGTAAGTTAGTTCTGTCACCAAAAGTGCGTTTTGTTTGATTTCTCTAAATGTTGAGTCTATTTACGTGCGTGACCTCGAGACAGATGCCAGTATGTTTATTATTTTATTATCCACAATCCTCCAAGAGAGCGAACGATGCTTGTGTGTAACAACGGGCGAATCGCTGCCATGAGTGAAGGCCACAGCCTTTGGAGGCCCACCTGCCATAGTGCATGATGGAGAGGTAGTCGTAGGGCAGATCTTCTCCATAGCCACTGTATTCCAGCCGTTTGAACTGCCCAAGCTCATCTGCAGGCAGCAGGCACAAGCAGCTCTCACGATTAGAAAACACTGCCTTAATGCAGGCATCTTAACACGTTTAAACCTGTTTTCCGGTTCTATCAAGAGTACACACAGATTGTTGTGGGAGTGTTTGTGTCACGTAATTGTGATTCTTGCATTGCGCTAATTAGATGACACTGAAGCATCTCCAGCTCAACCGTGTGGAGCGGCACTTATATCCACTGCTGGCTCCGGGTCAGTGGGGGAAATTCCTAATTTCTATGGTGGAGACCGATAAAACAACCACTGTGGACTTCCCATGAAGTGGTACTCGTTACTGATTCTAACGAGGTGATGGGCCGAGCGGGACGCTGCTTGAGCGTCGCGGTGTGGAGCGAGCGGCGTGAGTGCGTTGCCGCCCGGCCCCACTGCTGCCCTGAGGCAGAGCCGCGCTCTCTCCACTGCTGGCCTGAGGGGAGCCGTGCTCTCTCCACTGCTGCCCTGGGGCAGAGCCGTGCTCCGTCCGCTGCTGCCCTGAGGGAGCACCGTAGTCTCCACTGCTGGCTACAGGGAGAGCCGCGCTATATCCACTGCTGCCGTGAGGGAGCCAGACACACTCTCTCCACTGCTGCCCTGAGGCAAAGTTGTGCTCCGTCCGCTGCTCCCCTGGGGGGAACCATGCTCCGTCCACTGCTGCCCTGGGAGAGAGCGGCGCACTCTCCACTGCTGCTGCCCCGAGATGTCGTGGTCGCTGCACCAGAGCAAAAAGGCGCTGCTGCAGTCGTTTAACAAGCGGCTCAAGGACGATGTGCGCTAAATCCTGGACAACTTCACGGAGATTGTCAAGACGGCCAAGGGTCGTGAATGAAGAGTCCCCTGTGTGGGCTTCAGTGGGGCCGGTCTGGTCGGGCAACAGAATCACGAGAGGCTAAGCAACGACTTTCCACCAGTGGGCTGAGCTCAAGGAGGGCTAGCACGAGCACCATCCTGCGGCAAGGAAAGGAGGCGGTGCAAGCGAAACAGCCGAGCCCACAGCAGCCAAGAATCTGCTGTCCCTGTCTGGACAGCCGTTCAACCCTAGCCCACGGACGAGAAGCCGTGCATGTGGTGACGAGTGCGGCAAGACTTTTTTTCTCGCACTCGGACTACAAGTATATGTATTTTTTTTTCCGCTTGTGTGTTAAACTGTGTGTACCCCGGATATTTTAAAGATGGCAATTCTCCTGCTGTGTATCCTACTGCTGTCCCTCCCTGCCATATCTAGTGCCACACTCAACTCTACAAACAGCTACCCTTGTTACTTTGCGTCCATACTTGTTGCTCAATTTGCCACTACACCTGCTAATGAAACAGCTTATAGACACTTCTACACTCCATCATTGGATCCTTTTAAACCCTATCTTTGTCCCATTACTTCACCAGCACTCCTTCCAAACTTCATTCTGCTCTTAAAAATAACACCATCTGCGAGCTGCTGCTATTTGTCCAAGGTTCGTCGCTCTTCATCCTTTCACAGAAAATACCTGTGCAAACTATTAATTCTACTTTTCTTATATCTGGGTGGTATTGAGCTTCATCCTGGCCCAAATGTAAAGAATTCGTATAATTCTGTAGATGTTTCTGGCAGAAAAGGTGTTGGTGTTCTACATGTCAACATCAGAGGGCTTGTGATTAAATTAAGTCAATTAAAATTAGAAGTGGCAAATCTTGACCCGGACATTTTTTGCCTAACAGAAACATTTCTCACTCTTGCCGTCAATGACTTGCAGATTACGATTGACAACTACAACCTTTTTCGGCTTGACCGAGGATCTAAAGGAGGTGGAATTGCCATCTATGTTCGTAATACTATTGCATGTTCACCAGCTCACTCCTTGTTTAAAAAATGTTGCTTTGAAGGTCTGGCTCTCAGAATAATTCTCCCTAATAATCAACAGATATTGGTAGTGTGCTGCAATAGACCGCCTAGTGGGAAAGATGTTGAAGCTGCATCTGCACTGAGAGAGCTTCTTGGGGGCCTCCCTAAAGGTGAAATAGTTTTAGTGGGTGATCTAAATTGGAATTGGCTAAACCCGCCGGCTGTGGCCACAAATTTTGCAGATGAATTTAACCTGTTTCAATGAATAAATGTCCCCACAAGACCCAACCTAAAAAATCCGGGAAAGTCAACTCTGCTGACATCCTATTGACAAATGCCCCTCACAATTTCGCACTGACTGGTGTTCTGGGTAATAACCTTAGTGATCACTCCTTCATTTTTGGGGTGAGATCATCAGCCAGACCCAAAGCCCCCCTAAATTGGTTGAGAAGCATTCCATGAGACACTTCAGCACTCAGGCATTTACTAATGATGTGCTTCACTCGGATATTGACAAGGTCTGTGATATCCCAAACCTGACTACGGCTTGGGAGACTTTCAGGTACACGTTTCTCCAAATTCCTAACAAACATGCTCCGTTGGTTAAATATAAAACGAAAGGCAACCGTCCACCATGGTTTGATCCTTTGATTACAAAGCTCATGAAAACTAGGGACAAGGCTTAGGCATGTGCTCAGAAAAGTAATTTGGTCAATGACTGGCTAGAATACAGGATTTTAAGGAATAGATGCGTCAAAAAAATACGGCATGCAAAAAATGACTACTTTTCTTCCACTCTCTTGGAATCACATGGAAATGCCAGGATTTTCTGGAAAACAATCAAATGTATCGAAAAAGCATCCAAAACAGATAATCTGCCCGTTGAGCTTAACCGAAATGGGGAATATTGTTCAGATCCCCCAAAAATAGTTGACAATTTTAACCTTCATTTTTCTGAAGCTGGTACCCTATTTGATAATGTATTGGGAGTCACCCCTGCTCATGCAAATTCCTACACCCCTATCCAAACATTAAACGAATTTAGTTTTCAGCCAATCCACGAAAGTAGTGTTCTGAAACAATTGTCCTACCTCAAAAGGTCCTCCTCTACCGGAGCAGATAGTATTCCCGTCTTTGCTCTACTAACTGTTGGCCACCTAATATACAAACCTATAGCCCATATTTTCAACTTGTCTATCAAAAAAGCATCAGTTCCTCTAGAATGGAAACATTCCTATGTTCGTCCAATTCACAAAGGGGGCCCTAAAAATGATCCAAATAACTACCGACCTATCTCAATTTTGTCCCCGTTGATGAAAATTTTGAAAAATTATTGAACTACCAAATTAGCAGTTTCCTGTCCGCCAACAATCTATTAAATTTTTCGATTTAAAGCTTTCGTGACTGCAGGGATTAATCTTCTTGGTTCTTTTGGTAAAGTGACAATACCGAAAGAACCAAAAAGATGAATCTATTACATCTAAAACAATCTGGGTTCCGAAAAAAATACAGCACCATATCTGCTGCATTAGACTCTCTGAATCACATTTACAGTAGCCTTAATAATAAGCAGTACTGAGCCTGTCTTTTTCTTGACTTGTCCAAAGCTTTTGATACAGTAGACCACAATATCCTGCTTAGTATAATAAGTTGCCTCGGTTTTTCCGAAAACACAGTAAGATGGTTCAAAAATACCTCTTTTCTCGCACCCAAACTGTATTCACAGATGGTTGGAAGTCAAACAGTGTTAAGATAACAAAAGGGGTTCCACAGGGTTCCATTCTCGGCCCCCTTTTGTTCTCTCTTTATGTAAATGACTTGGGCACTGAACTGATCATTCCAGGGTAAATCTTTTTGCAGATGACACGGTAATGATTACTGCTGGCCGCTCTCCGGATGACGTGATTGCTAAGCTCCAGAGTGATTTTAACAAACTACAACATCAGCTAGTTGCTCTTAAACTAGTCCTAAATCCTGCCAAAACCAAGGTGGTATACTTCTCACCAGGACTAAAGCGGGAAGCTATTTTCCCCCAATTACATTCCTTAAATAATGATCAAATAGAGCAAGTCAAGATCTGTAAGTATCTTGGGGTCATCCTAGATTCAAAACTGAATTTTGAAGATCACATTGATTATATTGGGAAAAAGACAAAAATTTAAATTGGTTTTCTGTATCGACACAAGCTCTGCTTCCCCCCTATGTTCCGTATGGAATTGATAAAAGCTACCATACTGCATCTACTTGATTACTGTGACATCGTGTATAAATCATCCCCAAGTACTGTACTGAAGAAGCTTGACTAATTGTATCACTTGGCCTTAAGATTTGCATTGAACTGCCCATATAGGACTCACCACTGTGATCTCTACATTGGGTCAAACTTAACATCTCTGAATGTTCGAAGGCTTGTGCACCAGATCTTATTTATTCATGATGTACTTACAAAAAAATCCGCAGATTACCTGCTGGATCTCCTCTCCGTTTCAAAGAACAAATTTGACCTAAGGTCTACACTCATTTACCATATTCCCTATTGCCGTACATATACTGGAGGAAGGGCCTTTGCTATTGATGCCCCCAGGGTCTGGAATGCTATTGCCAATAAATTGCAAGTTGAGTCACTACCTCTGAGATCTTCACTCAAAACTGCTCAAGAGGAGTTGTACACCCCTAGCTGCCAGTGCTATTCAGTGGCCTAAAATAAAATGTTTCGCTCCAGATGATCGCTGCAAAGTATGACCTGTGTTTTGATTTAGTGTGCTGATCTTAAAGGTGCATTGAAAAATTATAATACTCCGATTGATGCTCCTGCTGTTGTGGAGTGACTCATGCAGCCAGCTATGGCTGCAGGGTTTTGGTAGTACATGTTGTTTGTCGTTTATTGTGAAAATTCCGTCACAGTTCCTATGATCACTGTTTCATTGCTTTATTTTGGTGATTTCGAAAAGTTTACTGGTTTGGCCATGTTTGTTTGTTGTAGTACGGAGTAAGACTGATGGCCTTAATCTAAGTTGTCTTGTGGTTGTTGTTGTTGTTTGACTTGCATCCCACTGGGATTTTTGCACAGCGTTGGTGTACTGTGTTTTTTCTGCAATATTTTGCTGTTTTTTCTTGGATTTTCTGTTTGCACTAAGTCACATATTCACTTTAAGATGTTTTCTTGTTCATGTTCATGTTTTTGTTTTTTTGTTTGTTGCGGTTGCACCCGATTCAAGAGCCGAATGGCTCACAGGGCTATACCTAATAAATTAACTTGAACTTGAACATGTGAACACGCGACCGCACACGCAGTCTGCAGCACAGCTGTGCGGCCGCGTAGTCACGAGCTCCGGTTACCAGTGGAGCTACCGCCACCTCCATGAGATCACGAGTTAGCTCGACTACGCTGACGATAAACAGACAGTACAAGACACATATACAGAGGGAGCTGTGATCATAGAAATCAGCCGAGCAACGAGGCCTGTTTAGAGAAACACCGTTGTCTCGTCACTGGCTGTGCTTGCAGTGCGAGGCTCGCTACCCACTACTCGCCCACACCGCTGTGGAGTTCCTAGCAGCACTTATAGACCCCGTGATGTTCCCTAGACGTACAGACAAGGTACAGGATGTATTATAGTGAAATGGTAACAGTACTTCCCAGTCACTTACACAAGAGCACAGCAGACTCCTGTGCACAGCGGTGTGCAGCTGAGAAGTGGCAAGGGAGAGAGGAGGCCCCTGCAGCCTCAACCCTGTGGCATGGCAGGGGGCGCTGCACGAGTGACGCTCGCACCGTGCAGCAATTGAGCTCATGTGTGATCTCCTCGTTAAACTGACGATACACTGCACGTCAGTATGAGGCAGTGATAGTCATGGATAGCACGCTACCCTGGGTGCCTTACTCACTCTCGTGGCACCACTCACATGCTTTGATGTTGTCCTCGTGGACCTTGATGTACTGGTCACGGTCGCTGCGGCAGTGCTCGTGGTGGAAGCCGAGCGCGTGCATGAGCTCGTGCAGAACTGTGCCCTTGTCCACCTTCCCGGGCTCAAGGGACACGGACTGAGCCCCTCCCTTCTTGCCCAGGAACGACCAGCTCCTGTGGAGGACAAATCCCATCCATGCTCACGATGATCCCAATGGCTTACGTGACGTGTGCATGATGAGCTTGCATCGTGACCTTCAAAGTAAAGATTAAACATTGTACTGTGTGACCATCGTGGCTGAGTGAAGGGGTTGTATTGTATTTCGATTTAAAGCTTTCGTGACTGCAGGGATTCATCTTCTTGGTTCTTTCGGTAAAGTCACGTAGAAGGGAAGTAATAAAATAATAAAAATAAAACACAATAAAATAATTCTCACGACGTTTCGGCCACAACGCAAGCAGCCGTCCTCAGGTGAAAACCAGGTCCGTCATCTGGCCACATGGCCGGCCTGCTCTAGACCAATTTCTCGACCACATCAATTCCATACACCCAGCCATCAGATTCACCATGGAAGTCGAAAAAGATGGAAAGCTACCCTTTTTGGATGTCCTAATTAAAAGGAGACCTGATGGTTCAATGAGCCACTCTGTCTACAGGAAAGCCACCCATACGGATGCTTACCTAAAACCGGATTCCCACCACCATCCATCCCAGAAGAATTCCCTCATCAAGACTCTATACCATAGAGCCCAATGCATTTCCGACCAGGAACACATTGGCAGTGAACTCAAACACGTACGCCAAGCTCTTAAGGCTAATGGTTACTCCGACTACACAATCCGCAAGGCCATCACTCCAACCATCAAGAAGGATCCTATTGAGGAGCCTTTCAAGACCATCACCTTACCCTACATTGCTGGGGTCACAAAAAAGATCTCCAAAATCCTGATTAAACACAAGATCCAGGTCCGATTCAACACAGTACATAAAATCCGTGATCTGGTCCCGTCTGTAAAAGATGTGGTTCCAGACATACAGTACCCTGGCGTCTACAAACTAAGTTTCCTCTGTGGTAGCAGTTACATTGGAGAAACCAAACGACATGTCTCGGACCGCATCCGTGAACATAAAGCAGACCTGAAACACGGTAGGACAAACACCTCAGCCGTGGCAGATCACTGTTACAATTCAGTGGGCTCACATGACATTGACTTCTCCAAGACAGAGGTTCTCTGCAAGCCATCTGGCTATCATGAGAGATTCGTTCATGAGGCGATCCACATATACAAACACAGAGACAATTTCAACCGAGAAGATGGATTCTGGCTTAGCAATCATTGGAAGGACGTAATAAACCATTTCGGATCTTAACTGATTGTGTTCACGTTTACGGTGACTTTCAGACCGCGTTCCACTCACTGGCATTGTATTCTCCGCAGGGAATGGATTCTTTGCACCGCTGCAAGTTTCCTCTCACCACTCACCCATTGACACGACGGTCAATGGTACAGTGTATAGTGGCAGATAGTGTGGCATTTGTATGCTTGGTGCAGTGTGCAGAGTAATGTATGGTGTCGTAATTGTATAGTAAATATATAGCAGTGTGATACACATTAGGGTGGGTAGAATAATACATAGCGTTATATTAAAATGGATAAGGCAGCAGCAGCAACTGCAGCAGCAGCAACAACTGCAGCAGCAACACACTGCAGCTCCCTTTGATGCTGTTAATCCTGCATAATGCACATGCATATGTAGTACTAATCACATTCCTGCATTTCCCATAAATATGCTAAATTCCTCTTGATATGCAAATTCCTTTGTCAAGGCGCCCAGCTTATATATATGCTCCAAGCTCGTGTGCTGTTTCATTCAGACTCTGTCGCCTCGACGGACCTGGTTTTCACCTGAGGACGGCTGCTTGCGTTGTGGCCGAAACGTCGTGAGAATTATTTTATTGTGTTTTATTTTTATTATTTTATTACTTCCCTTCTACGTGACTTTACCGAAAGAACCAAGAAAGGTTGTATTGTGTATGTGAACTTATTTTGCACCGTACATAGCCAGCTGTGCTAATCGCAGGTGCGGGTTAAAGGTCCGCTTCTGTACTCCGTATGGGAGTGCAATCTGTGAGGTCCACTCAGTCTGTAATACTACCTTGGCTTTCTGAGCTTCACTGTGCCGTGATCAACGTGCGTTGTGCTCAACAGAAGACAATGCCTTCATAAGATTCGTCCTGCACTGAGCAAATCAATGCTGCACTGAAAGATTTATAAAACAGCCATCATCATGGCTGTGATTACTGTACAGCTGCACAAGTAAATGACTCTATACCTGGTTTATCAGATACATCGTGCATGTGAACACAGGTATAGTGGCACATTAACTATGCGTATTAAATATTTTACATTCAAATACAGTAAACCAGCCATTTTAGCACCAGGCAAGAGCCAATTCTGTTTACAAGCTGTAATTCCAGGAAAACCTCCTCTGTTCCACTCTGTCCATGGTATGAATCCTCTTATCCTTTGGGCTCCTCCCTGTAATTACGAATTTACACTTAAACTGGCAAATTTCTATTTTGGAGATTGAAAATATTAGCTGCACTATCATATGCCATGCAGATCAGGTGGGAAAGTGCATTGTACTACTGTGTGGATCAGAGGTCACATGAAGCGATCTTAGAGGTAGTTCTGTGAAATCCACTTCTGTGGGCCATTCTCTAATGCGAAGAGTTGCACTCCTCTGAAAGAAATCCAAAGGGATACTTTATTTCTTGATGCCGAGAGAAAAATGGGATGAAATTCACAGAAAAACTTGGATATACAAAAATTGGCAGATATTTTGATTAGAGGCCGACCGAAATTCGGTTTCGGTTTCGGCGCCGAAAGTTGGCAAATGGCCACTTTTGGAATACTTTCGGTTTCGGCCGAAAGTAAATTTTTTACTTTCAGTTTACTTTCGGTTTTGGCCAAAACTGATATTGACTTTCGGTCGTCAACCGAAGATCTATTTTTAGAATATAACGCTAGTGCTAAGTCTATCAGCCGGTCAGTCGGCACTAGGCAATCCTATGCGATAGGCTGCATACACACACATACATCAGCAGCAGCTTGCAAGTGAGGTTACAGCCGCAACCATGGTCTGGGGCCGTCATTAAATTATGGCACACACCTAGGGGGGGGGGCAGTGACTGCGTAGCGATTCGCGCGCTGCGCTACGAATCTGGCGGCCCGAGTTCGATTCCCGCTCACGGCCGGTGACGATTATTTGAACCGGTCCTGGGCCTCCCCTAGGTCGACTCAGCCTCAAACGAGTAAGTGGTGTGGTGTGTGAACATCGTCGCTGGGGAGACAAAGGCGGTCGGCCGTGGTGCTGGCCACCCACCCCCTCGTGTGCCGTGTCGTGCCAGCCTTCATAGGTGCTCGCTAACAGCACTTGCCCCCTACAGTCTCACAGGCTACACGGGGGATCTTTGTCTTTAGCCTGTATGTGGGGGGGTGGCAGCGACTGCGTAGCGATTCGCGCGTTGCGCTACGAACTCGGCAGCCCGAGTTCCGATTCCCGCTCACGGCCGGTGACGATTATTTCAACCGGTCCTGGGCCTCCCCTAGGTCGACTCAGCCTCGAACGAGTAAGTGGTGTGGTATGTCAACATCGCCACCAGGGCAAAGGCGGCCGGCCATGGTGACTCCAGGTCCCGGGCGAAGCCGCGTAGTAAAGCTAGTATTTCATAAATCTTGTGTTCAGTAACTTCGGTTATATACCTTTCTGTTTCGGTCTTGGTCGAAAGTGTAGTTAAACTTTCCGTTTCGGTTTTGGTCGAAAGTGTAGTTAAACTTTCGGTTTCGGCCGAAAGTCAATTTTTTACTTTCGGTCTGGTTTCGGTTTCGGCCGAAACCAGAAATTCAGTTTCGGTCGGCCTCTAATTTTGATGGAACAACATTTTCTATTACCATGCCCAGCTCTCTCTTTCTCTCCCCACAAGCTCATCCCACACCCCCTGCGCTCTCTCCCCTCGCCCCCTCGCTCTCTCCGCACACTCCCCTCACTCTCTCTCCATGCCCCCTCACTCTGTCAACCCTGCTGCTCTCTCCACACAACGATCTCTCTCCGCGCTGCTCACTGCTGCTCACCCGCCCAGGGCCTGGAAGTTGATGTAGTCCTCCTCGTTGTCTTTCCGGATGAGCCGAATGCAGGTTTCCTCTGCAAACTCATTGACTGCTTGCTGGATGTTCTCCTTGTCATTTGTGTCTGAAGATAAAAATCACGTGACAATTACAATCACATTACAGCCCACGGCGCCTGATTTATAATCACATGGCACTCGTATTATAATCACACTTATTAAAATCCTGCTGTGACTGTATTAGAATCACACTGTGCTCGTATTATAAACGTACTGTGGTTGTATAAGAATCGTATTGTGGTCGTATAAGAATCGTTCCTGATGACGACCACTTGTGTTGCGATCGAAACGACGTGGTTTTTCTTTTAATTTAATTCAGGTTAGAACCAGGCTACATTCTACATTACAAACTGCCAGTACGCTCACTCAGCTTAATGACAATTTCTACAGTCTACATCATCGACTGCCAATACGCTCACCAAATTTAATAACCAGGCTACAGTCTACGTTACAGACTGCCAGTATGCTCACTCCGATTTAGAACCAGGCTACAGTCTACATTAGTGTTTTTTGGTTTTTATTATTTTTATTATTTTTATTCACTTTATTATTATTTTTCTATCTACATGACTTTACCGAAAGAACCAAAGAATATAATCGTTCAAGAATTGCGCACTTTCATCTTGGTTGTGGAGTGGAGCAGGAAATGAGGGAAGGGGTCTTTGGAGAAAATGATGCAGATGATGGGAATGGATGATGTTGCTTAATGACAGATGACGTTGATGGGTATAAAGACAATTATTGATCCTGCCTGTGCAAGAGATGTCGGTGATGATGGTGGTGGAAGTTAATATTCGTAAACGAGATGGGGCTGATGATGCCTGGCAATGGATGATGGTGATCATGGAGAGAGGAGCAGGGTCGAGAGTGGGGAGTGGTCAGAACATGGGGAAAGTGGGCGGGGCATAGGGAAAGTGGGCGGGGCGTGGGGGAGAGAGAATTGAGCATGGCAATAGAATGGGGGTGATGACAATGATGGATGAGGCTTAGTATACAAAAAATATAATGATGGCATTGGTTGGTAGCAGCAGCGGCACAGAGAGATGTGCAGAAGTAGAGTCACCGAAAAATACACAAGGAAAGAAACAAATACAGACGGAAAGATACGAAGGGAAACACAGATACATGGCGAGACAAAGAGAGACATGAAGAGGAAGGGAGAAAGACTTAAAGATAGAAGCATTGAGAGACAGGAAGACAGGGATGCAGAGATACTGCCACATGGATTGACGGTTGGGGTGATGACTTTGCGGATTGTGTAGTCAGAATATCCATTCGCCTTGAGAGCCCGGTGTACGTGTTTGAGTTCAATGGTCAGGTGTTCATGGTCGGAGATACATTGAGCTCTATGGTGTAGCATGAGGAAGGAGCCATCTGAAGATCCAATCAAAACCATCACCTTGCCTTACATAGCAGGGATAACCAACAAGATTTCAAAATCTTGAACTAACACAAGATCCAGGTCCGATTTAACGCAGTGCATAAAATTCGTGATCTGATCCCATCTGTGAAGGACAAGATTTCTGACATGCAATATCCCGGCATCTACAAACTAAGCTGTATCTGTGGCAGCAGTTACATTGGGGAAACTAAACGACATGTCTCGGACCGTGTTCGTGAACATAAGGCAGGTCTGAACCACAAGCAGGACCAATACTTCTGCAGTGGCTGATCATTACTTTAATGCGGCTGGCTCATATGAAATTGATTTCTCTAAGACGATGGTACTTTGCAAGCCGACTGGCTATCAACAAAGATTCATTCACGAAGCCATCCATATATACAGACACAGAAACAATATCAACCGAGACGACAGTTTTAAACTCAGCAATCATTGGAAAGATGTCATCAACCACTTTGGGTCATAACTTGATTTGTGTTTTCTTGTCAATCTCTACCGTCAGCAGTGTGGATGGGTGTAGTGAGGTGCAATGCCCCCCCCCCATCTCTATCCCCCTCTCTCCACCGATCTCTACCCACCCCCCCATCTCTACCCTCTTCCTCCCCCCCATTGTCTAACACACTTGGACTGCGCCCTCGCCTTTCAGCTCCACCTCTATCTCTACCCCACCCTATCTCTCCCCCTGTCTCTGCCCCCTCCCTCCCCCCATTGCCTATTGCACTCGCTTTACTTATACTTTTGGTGCTTTGCTCCTATATTTGCGCTGGCTGCCCCGCCCATGCTGTTTACGCCGCATAGCTTTTCTCACTTTGAAAGCCCTTCTAAGCAGTTGCATTGGAGGCTTGCCCCCTCTTTTTCTCCACCTGATGAAGACCTGTGTTGCGATCGAAACGTCGTGGGTTTTTTGCTTTCATTATTTTCAATTTATTATTTTTCTTTTTAAGTTAATTTAATTTTATTATTTTTATTTTCTATCTACGTGACTTTGCCGAAAGAACCAAGAACATGAATATAGAATTAGGAGAAATGCTGAGAGACTAAGAGATGTAGAGAAAAATAGAAGAGAGACAGAGAGAGAGACACGGAGAGATGGAAAGGGCTCCATGTGGCAAGCCATGAATGAGTGATGTGCGGATGGCCGGTGTAGATCCGGCAGTGCCAGCTAAAGTAGCTCCAGACCGGGGCTCTCACCACAGAGACACAACCTGAAGCCACGGCTGCCGTCTGTGTGTGGTGCACTCACCGAAACCAGAGCAGACGTCGTAGAGAACGTAGACTTTGTCATCTCGGTGCTTGACCCAGTCATGGCTTCCATCTAGACAATCAACACGCATGCTCAGTATCGCGTAAAGTGGAGCCTAAACAATCAGGAATCATGCAAGACGATCCTACTTTTTTGCATAAAAATATACAGATTGGTCAATCACACCCAGTAATCACACTGATCTTACAGCAATACAAAGCTTACCATGGCCAACATCAAGTGAAGATTATGTGAACCGGTCCTGGGCCTTCCTTATGCCAACTCAGTTTCAAGTGAATACAGCGATACCTTGACTTTCGTCCACTTGACTTTCTTCACTTCTCTCTTTCGGCCGTATTCAATTATAATCACATTTCAAATTTCATCCACGTGCTTTCCTCTTTCGTCCGTATTCATTCAAGCTTCCACGACGTTTGTGCCACGCGCAATCTTTTTCGTTCAGTCTTTGAATAGAAGTCGTTCAGTGAGCATCTCTTATATTTGTGTTCATTCATATATTACTCTTTGGTTCTTTCAGTAAAGTCACGTAGGTATAAAATAAAATAAATCACGACGTTTTGGGCGCAACACAAGCGTCCGTCATCAGGTGGGAAAGCATGGTCTGCTACTGATGCAGACTGTTTTAAAAGGTTTGAAATGGGTGTAGCCCAAGGGTAATAAAGAAGTGGCTGGGTCTAGTGATGTTCACGTGAGAAATTAGCATGTAAATGGGTACGGAAGTGGCCACTTCTTTATGACCCTTGGGCTACACCCATTTCAAACCTTTTCAAACAGTCTGCATCAGCAGCAAACCATGCTTTCCCACCTGTTTACGGACGCTTGTGTTGCACCCGAAACGTCGTTATTTATTTTATTTTATACCTATGTAATAAGAGCCATGTATGACTCACGTGGCGATCGGCTTGCCGATCACGATGCCCGGGAGCATGGTCTCGGCGTGATCACGGCATGTTAGCTTGGCCGATCTTGGCCTCAGCTAATGGGAAGCCGGATCAGAGGCGTGGTCCCGGGAGTTGACGGGGAATGATCTGGAGTGTTCGACGCTGCCTACTGAGGATTGGCTGAGGGGTACCACGTGACCGAGGGGTTAAGAGGGGGAGACACGAGTGAGTCGGGAGCAGACCTGGGAACGAAGAGAGCAGGGGCCACGCGCGTACGGGGCTCTGGGTGCCACGTGCGCGGTGCGACTTCGCTGGCTGTCTGCCCACTTCCCGTTGCCTGCCAGCAACGGGGAGTGTGTATGTGAACTGTGGAAGTGGAAAATAAAGGACTGATTCCAGAAGCCGTCTCGAGAAGGTTATTACATTGGTGTCAGAAGTTCTTCTGGGACCGTTTGGACGATCTTCAAGATGTCCAAGCACCTCAGAAAGAAGAACCCACCCGAGCCTCCATCGGAGGAAGATATCGAGACGGACGAAGATGATCTGTTGGGGGCTACAGCTCCTCTGCCGCCGGCTGCTGCTACTCTCCTCGACGCCTCTCAACGTCGACAGGGTGAAGAAACGACCACCTCAGGGGCGAACGACGGATGGCGGCTGATGGCGGAGCAGATCGAGTCATTACGCGCAATTCTGCTGAGTTTGGTGACAGCGGTGGCATCCTCACCAGCCGTGGGTCGCCAGATAGCAGGCCAGCTTAACGCCGCGGATCGAGATCCTGCCCAGGAATCTGCGTCCGCCACTGCTCCTGCCACGTGGGAAGAGGCCGACATCTTGGGCGGGGCGGCAGCACCGGAGCCGTTGGGCGCCATTTTGTGCGAAGCTGCCACCACGCGGCCGCCGGACGCCATTTTGACTGCGACAGGTGGAACGCGGGAAACGAAATCGGAGACGCCCGCGGCGTCTGCCTGCCACCACGGACATCGCCTTCCACAGATTAAGGAATTTATCGCCGGGGGCGATTGGAGTGCTTTTACGTGGCGCTTCGAGTCGGCCTTCAGATCCGTGCGATGGACGGAGGGGGAGGCGCTGGAAGCGCTACCTACACTGCTTGACGATGTTTCTCTGGGGGTCTTCCGCTCCATCCCGGCGTCCAAGAAGAAGACGCTTCGTGAGGCTTTCGCAGAGATGGCGGAGTTCTACGACCCGCCGACAGCAGCTACGAGAAAATTCATGTCGCGTCGCCGAGGTTCGGAGGAGTCGCCTTTGGCTTATCGGGGGGCGTTGATGGCGCTGGCCATGGCCGCTTACCCCGACGCGACGGCCCGTGCGCAGGAAAGGAACGAGAGGTATGCGCGTCGATCGCGTACTCACATGCCCTGGTCAGTGGGTGACCTGGCATGGCTCCACTGCCCTCAGGTGCCGGTGGGCACATCCCCTAAACTGCACAGGCCTTGGCGGGGCCCTGTGACGTTGGTGGACATTCGGAATCCACAGAGTGTTTGCGTCCAGTACGGAAAACGTCGGTGGTACGTCCATTCGTTGCGACTTAAACCCTACGTTAGTACGCGTGTTGATCTCTCATCTCCACTTGTTGACCTGCCGGGATCTGCTGTGCTGAGTATGCCGCTTGCCTCGCCCGTTGATCCCCAGCGGGACTGTGTTGTGCCACCCGCAGATGAACAGGTTTTGAGGGCTGCCGAGACCCCCGCTGTCCCCTCTCCAACGGGACCTTCCCTGGACATGACCGACAACGAACAATCTTCTTCTTCACGCCTACCACCTCCTGTCGAACCGGCGGCAAGGCGACCGTGCGCAGGAAGCGGAGAGGGTCCCGCATCGCGTACGCGATCTAAATCTCTCCCGTTTCGTTAGCGTCTGATTGTCTTGCTGTCCCTTCCCTGTCATTACGGCGCTGCAGGGGCACCCTAATGTATGTCTGGTTGTTATGGGTGATTCTGTTTTTAAGTGTTGTTCTGCGTAT